ATGGGCAGTGTACAACCGCAAATACTGTACAATCGATCGACTTGACTACCAAGCAGGTTAGAAAACTTTGGTCGATCGTACGATTTTCGTGAGGTTGGTGGCGTTTCCGTACGTCAAAATTCATACGAGTAGCACCGCGCATATGAAAATACATGCGGTCGTTTACCGGAATTCATCCAGGTGTTTTTTTTTCACTACAGGCTCATTGAACCTTCCGATAATCGGGGCAGGATGGGGCTGCCGTACGAAAATCGTAGCAACGGTTCGATCAACAAGCGAAAAGTTTCGTCCGATGATCGCAAGGTGTAAGGGCAGCTGTAGAAATCTGGACCCAAGCGTCACTTCCAGGGGCGTTGACTGCATTTGGTGATGATTTGGGGGGCGTCAGCTTAACGAGCATGCTCAGACCCTCTGATCGGGTCCACAAATTTCACTGCCAATTGCACATGAGCCGGGAAGTGTGACCTTGCCTGTAAATTATCTGGACACGCTTCCCAGCACATTTGCAATACAGGCAAATAGCCTGTGAAATTTCTGGACGCAATCACCTCTTCTGGTCCACATTTCTAACGAAGTCCAGGATTCTTTTAGAACACCAGCAAGGGAGCGAGGGGAGTTGACTTCAGTTCCGCTTTTAAGATAGAATCACGACTAAAAACCAATAATGACTCCATCGCTTGGCACAGTGATGTCAGTCTTCCTTCTTGTTACATATTTACAGAGGAAGAGAGCAAATTATTGATCTGCTGAGGAAGAAAGACTCCCACGGACTATCCAGTACACATATCACATATATGTCGGATGAAGTGTATGGGCGACAGGTCCTCTTCCAAACACGGCTAAGTTAAAGAATTATTAAAAAAAGAAAAAAGGAGTGACATCCAGGGATCCAAGCTGCAGTTATGACTTAAAGAATCCTATCACCCCCCAATGCATGTGAGGATTGAGCTGTCATTTAAATCTACACAACAGAATATATGTGGTTTGGTGCTGTGCTGCACACAGTACCGATACTTCTCATATCTTCTCCGCTCCAGAACTCAGCCCTGCTTGCAGCTTCAATCAAGCATGGGGTGGACACTGGGTATCTTCTAGACAAAGTCATGGATTTCTGCTAGTGTGCTCTTTGACCTTCTACCAAAAGACTATCCCAAGGCTCCAGTGCAGAGTGTGGAGAAGGAAGTCTACAAATAAGCACCACGGAGACTCGGATTGTGCACGGGACATAAAACACCGGGTGCACCTTGGACATTGTACACTCTATTTAAAGCACATTCCAACTTCAGTAATAAATATGATGTGAAGAAGGAAGTTAGTGAAGGCAGATTCCAATTATGAAGGTTATTGTGCATTTCATAGCATCGGCTCATCCCATACAGAGCTGGGGGTGAAGGGTGCAGGCTTTAGCAACGGTTCGATCAACAAGCGAAAAGTTTCGTCCGATGATCGCAAGGTGTAAGGGCAGCTGTAGAAATCTGGACCCAAGCGTCACTTCCAGGGGCGTTGACTGCATTTGGTGATGATTTGGGGGGCGTCAGCTTAACGAGCATGCTCAGACCCTCTGATCGGGTCCACAAATTTCACTGCCAATTGCACATGAGCCGGGAAGTGTGACCTTGCCTGTAAATTATCTGGACACGCTTCCCAGCACATTTGCAATACAGGCAAATAGCCTGTGAAATTTCTGGACGCAATCACCTCTTCTGGTCCACATTTCTAACGAAGTCCAGGATTCTTTTAGAACACCAGCAAGGGAGCGAGGGGAGTTGACTTCAGTTCCGCTTTTAAGATAGAATCACGACTAAAAACCAATAATGACTCCATCGCTTGGCACAGTGATGTCAGTCTTCCTTCTTGTTACATATTTACAGAGGAAGAGAGCAAATTATTGATCTGCTGAGGAAGAAAGACTCCCACGGACTATCCAGTACACATATCACATATATGTCGGATGAAGTGTATGGGCGACAGGTCCTCTTCCAAACACGGCTAAGTTAAAGAATTATTAAAAAAAGAAAAAAGGAGTGACATCCAGGGATCCAAGCTGCAGTTATGACTTAAAGAATCCTATCACCCCCCAATGCATGTGAGGATTGAGCTGTCATTTAAATCTACACAACAGAATATATGTGGTTTGGTGCTGTGCTGCACACAGTACCGATACTTCTCATATCTTCTCCGCTCCAGAACTCAGCCCTGCTTGCAGCTTCAATCAAGCATGGGGTGGACACTGGGTATCTTCTAGACAAAGTCATGGATTTCTGCTAGTGTGCTCTTTGACCTTCTACCAAAAGACTATCCCAAGGCTCCAGTGCAGAGTGTGGAGAAGGAAGTCTACAAATAAGCACCACGGAGACTCGGATTGTGCACGGGACATAAAACACCGGGTGCACCTTGGACATTGTACACTCTATTTAAAGCACATTCCAACTTCAGTAATAAATATGATGTGAAGAAGGAAGTTAGTGAAGGCAGATTCCAATTATGAAGGTTATTGTGCATTTCATAGCATCGGCTCATCCCATACAGAGCTGGGGGTGAAGGGTGCAGGCTTTGTATGGGATGACTGGCAGGGGATCAGACCGTGCATGGGATTAGTGATGGGGTATGGCCTACATACAACATACGTGTTGAGGATGCAGGATGACTATGGTGTTAGTGTCAACTTTTCAGGCTGTTTATGGAATGGGTGTCAGGGGGTGGAGGCTGCAAATGGGATGGGTGTCAGGGGGTGGAGGTTGTGAATGAAATGGGTGTCAGGGGGTGAAGGCTGTCAGCGTGTGAAGGCTGTGTATGATGGGTGTAGGCTGTGTAATGGATGGGTGTCAGGGGGTGAAGGCTGTGTATGATGGGTGTCAGGGGGTGTAGGCTGTGTATGATGGGTGTCAGGGGGTGTAGGCTGTGTATGATGGGTGTAGGCTGTGTATGATGGGTGTCAGGGGGTGTAGGCTGTGTATGATAGGTGTCAGGGGGTGTAGGCTGTGTATAATGGGTGTAGGCTGTGTAAGGGATGGGTGAAGGCTATGTAAGGGATGTGTGAAGGCTGTGTAATGGATGGGTGTGAGGGGGTGTAGGCAGTGTATGATAGGCTGTGTAAGGGATGGGTGAAGGCTGTGTAAGGGATGGGTGAAGGCTGTGTACGATGGGTGTCAGGGGGTAAAGACTGTGTACGATGGGTGTCAGGGGGGTGAAGGCTGTGCATGATGGGTGTCAGGGGGTGAAGGCTGTGCATGATGGGTGTCAGGGGGTGAAGGCTGTGCATGATGGGTGTCAGGGGGTGAAGGCTGTGCATGATGGGTGTCAGGGGGTGTAGGCAGTGTATGATAGGCTGTGTAAGGGATGGGTGAAGGCTGTGTACGATGGGTGTCAGGGGGTGGAGGCTGCAAATGGGATGGGTGTCAGGGGGTGGAGGTTGTGTATGATGGGTGTCAGGGTGTGTAGGCTGTGTAATGGATGGGTGTCAGGGGGTGTAGGCAGTGTATGATAGGCTGTGTAAGGGATGGGTGAAGTCTGTGTAAGGGATGGGTGAAGGCTGTGTATGATGGGCGCCAGGGGGGTGAAGGCTGTGCATGATGGGTGAAGGCTGTGCATGATGGGTGCCAGGGGATGAAGGCTGTGTACGACGGGTGCCAGGGGATGAAGGGTGTGTACGACGGGTGTCAGAGGGTGTGTACGGCGGGTGTCAGGGGGTGTGCATGATGGGTGTCAGGGGGTGAAGGCTGTGCATGATGGGTGCCAGGGGATGAAGGCTGTGTACGACGGGTGCCAGGGGATGAAGGGTGTGTACGACGGGTGTCAGAGGGTGTGTACGGCGGGTGTCAGGGGGTGTGCATGATGGGTGTCAGGGGGTGAAGGCTGTGCATGATGGGTGCCAGGGGATGAAGGCTGTGTACGACGGGTGCCAGGGGATGAAGGGTGTGTACGACGGGTGTCAGAGGGTGTGTACGGCGGGTGTCAGGGGGTGTGCATGATGGGTGTCAGGGGGTGAAGGCTGTGCATGATGGGTGCCAGGGGATGAAGGCTGTGTACGACGGGTGCCAGGGGATGAAGGGTGTGTACGACGGGTGTCAGAGGGTGTGTACGGCGGGTGTCAGGGGGTGTGCATGATGGGTGTCAGGGGGTGAAGGCTGTGCATGATGGGTGCCAGGGGATGAAGGCTGTGTACGACGGGTGCCAGGGGATGAAGGGTGTGTACGACGGGTGTCAGAGGGTGTGTACGGCGGGTGTCAGGGGGTGTGCATGATGGGTGTCAGGGGGTGAAGGCTGTGCATGATGGGTGCCAGGGGATGAAGGCTGTGTACGACGGGTGCCAGGGGATGAAGGGTGTGTACGACGGGTGTCAGAGGGTGTGTACGGCGGGTGTCAGGGGGTGTGCATGATGGGTGTCAGGGGGTGAAGGCTGTGCATGATGGGTGCCAGGGGATGAAGGCTGTGTACGACGGGTGCCAGGGGATGAAGGGTGTGTACGACGGGTGTCAGAGGGTGTGTACGGCGGGTGTCAGGGGGTGTGCATGATGGGTGTCAGGGGGTGAAGGCTGTGCATGATGGGTGAAGGCTGTGCATGATGGGTGTACGGCGGGTGTTCAGGGGGGGTGTACCATGGGTGTCAGGGGGGTGTACCATGGGTGTCAGGGGGTGAAGGCTGTGTATGATGGTTGTCAGGGGGTGAAGGCTGTGTATGATGAGCGAAGGGTGTGTACGATGGGTGTCAGGGGTTGTATGATAGGTGAATGGTGTGTACGATGGGTGTCAGGGTGTGTACGATGGGTGCCAGGGGTGAAGGGTATATCTGAGGTAACCGTCGGTCATACACACTGAGTAGCAGAAAAGTGACAGCACGCAGTTATCTAATATGAGACTGTTAGCGACACAAACTACCAACAAACTAATAAAAGAAGCCCCGCAGAGGACACCACTATGTACACCCCACCCCCTGCGATCCCCACTATTACATGGCTGTACAAACGGCTCATCCGGATATACATTCGCGCACCACTCACCTGCATTGACGCCATGATGGGATCCCGCCCCCTCCCTCCTGTGGTGACGTCACATGTCACATGACCGACACGAAAGCTTCCTCAAGCACGCGTGCGCCCGGGCTGTGTGCGGTGTTGTGCTGCGCATGTGCAGAGTGGGGAGGTGGGGAGAGGCTGGGGATGAATGGATTAATTCCTTTTGCTCTAACTTTTCTTTTTGCTAATCTTTAAACTCTGCACTCATATTTGTATTTCAGTTCCGTAGACTGACCTGAGAGAATTATTAAAGGCCTCTAATAGGAAATGAAAAGCTTTACTGTTAGAGTTAAAGTGAACCCTGAATTCTACCATGCAGGGCAATGCAACAGGAACACTTTAATACAGACATCACCCAGCAGCTGTTTCCCCAACTTCCTTACACTTGAAAGCCACTCTGTTCAGGTGCCAGGAGTGAAAAGTTGCTGAAGTTGGAGTGCTAGGCTGTCCCATGGTCCCCCCATGGTACCAGTGAGGCCAATGGAGGCAGCCGCTCACTCATGGGGGCAAAGGGGGTGGGGGGTGCTGATCTTGATAGAATCACAGACTGACTGACTCTGAGCTCCCTGTCTGTTGAGTGCGCACTTTTACCTGTCTCCGTGTCACACACACAGGCAGCACTGCCACCTTCGTTTCACGGAGGTGTGGGGTTGGCAAAAAAATGGGCTTGTCAGCACCCATGTCCGGCATGGCCCTGATATGTGATATTTTATTTTCCTCACAACCCTGAATAAAACAGTGGAGAAGGAAAGGAAGAGCCCATTAAGATGTATGCGTTCTTTACCACATTGCGCGGCTACAAACGTCCTGCGGTGTGGAGCATTGCAATGCCATTTATTGTAAATGGCACCCTGTGCACACCTGCGTTCCTGCAAACAATGAAACGCATACTGATTTTGACTGCACTGTTGTGAACATAACTCCTGTAAAAGATATTGCAGTTCCATTAGGGCTCATTCACACTATGTGCAGTGACCACACATGCACATTCCTGCACATGAATAACGCAGGTCACCGCCAGAGCACACAGACAACAATTGTTTCCTATGCCCCCTGTTCACACTGCAATGCTGACTGGAGTTGACTTGCCGTGCGTCTTTCAGACATGCTACATTTTTCCGCAGTGCGCCACAATTGGTGTGAACTGGAGCTAAAAGTTCAGTTCATGTTTAGAAATGCTTTCACATAATGTGACTTTGTGAGTGCGATGTCACATTCCACAAAGTCAGATAGACGTGACATTTCAGGACCGATCAGCTGTACCAGGGCAGATCGGTTCTCCCGCACATACCATTTGCGATGCCGATCTGCCCTGGAACAGCTGAGAAAGCGTTGCAATTCTTCACCTTTTGCCGGGCACATATTCCACCGCCGAAAAAGTGGATGTGATTACGTTAAAATGTGTGAACACGTGACCGGTCACACATTCTAACGCAGTCACAATCTTTGATAGAACAAGGGCACTGCAATTTATTCGGGTGAACCCCCTTAGAGCTGGATCAGCGTCAGGGTCTGGCAGGGGCTCAGCTGCAGTCTTTATGCCATTTGTTCATGACTGTGCTATGCAAACACTTAACCTCAACCTTAGAAAGCCAGTGGAAAGAGGAGACAGCTCATACAAGTCCAGCAGTGGTGCTTCCACTTCGAGACTGCACAGCATGCTTACCGCCAGTGATCGAGCAGCTAGCTATTCTGTGAGAGATGGGGAAACTGGTGCCTGACTGAGGAGTACCCTCACACTGAAAGCATCACCTTTTCCAGTCTTTGCTTCTATGTATGTGGTAGCAGACAGTTGTTTCTTTGGAAGGCACCCCAGAGACTGGAGAAAGCAGCCGGGGATTAATTATTGATGACCTGCTACTTGCCAGACAGATTCTTACTAAGGATTTAGGTATCAGTCAACGTGGCTACGGTGAAAATAGTGAGTAGCTCAGTCACTATTGATATATCTATATAGGCCATCTAAACATTATGGGATCATTTGGAAGTTGTGGAGCTACAAGTTATGCTAACATGTCTCTATTTTAATCTTGCTCTTCAATTGAGTTTCAGCCTGACACACTGAGCGCCTTGGCAGTCCATTTTCACATTTGTCGGGTTTCTTAAAGTAGATCTAAAACCTAATTGTACATTAACAGGGTTATTCACTAAAAGGGAGAAGAGTTTGGAGAAGACAGGAGAAGTGAACAATCTATGACAACATAACTGAACTGGAAAGTGAGGGGAATTGGAGAATTTTTCCCAATCGGCTATTTTGGCCTAGATTTTTCATTTCTCCTGCCTCCTCCAAACTCTTCACCCTTTTGTGAACCTGTTAGTTTGCTATGGCACTGTGTAGCAGATGCAGAAGTGTTGGACCTCCATTGGGTCCTTATTGTTTGTGTTCCTGAATGGAGATTATCCTTCACTGCCTGCCTTAGAAATCTTTCTAACAGGAGCACAGCAACAAACACATATTTTTAAATGTAGTGGAACAGGGATAGAGACTCTCGTCAAATGGCATTAATGTTTATACCCCTTAGGGGAGAATACACCCCAATCCTTGCCATGATGGTAGCTGATCAGAAGGAAACGAAGTGAATGCAGACTTCATGAGTGGGGACGTAGTCAGTAAATTAAATCGGAAAGGTTCTCCCTTCTCAACTAATGACAATAAAATATTTGGAGTTGCACTTTAAGTTTTAATTACACTGGTCATACAACTTAAATATATCTGTAATCAGCAGATCTGCAGCTATAAGAATAGTGGACAATGTGACGTATTGCAATCTCTGTCTCACCCTGCGCAATGATTTTCAAGACCACGGGAAGACTATATAAGCACCAGCAGACTAAGGGTGTCTCTCACTCAGGCTGGTTTACAGAACAGTAAAAGCTTTACACAGACAGTAGCCACGGCCATGTGTTTTGATGGAAACACTCATTGTTTACAGCATCTGCTGTAGCAATTCAGAAATGTCCGTGACACTCACCGCCACACCCAAACAGGAAAATAAAAGTCAGAGTTTATAATATGGTAATTTTCTTCAAAGAGGCAATATGTGCTTTAATTTCAGGTTACAACGTTCAGAGACTCAAAGTATTCAATAAAATGTACCTTGTCTTTCGTGAAGAGTCTAATCCCCTGAAGAGTAAGTTCATAATTGTGTACTATTGTCCCTGGCTCTCATAAATGACACTTAGCATTCCTTCATAGTTTTCATGGAGATGAGAACTCCATGAAAAGGACATTTACTCAAATAATATAACCAACCCAGGGGTCTGAGGGTTGTGCTTGAAGGGTTTTAAAGTGTATTGAGATGTTCAGCACATGCCCATCAGATGCACTCTGAATGCCAACTATATATTTCCAGATGACATTTTTTTACAATCCGACAATTAACATATTATTAAACAAAATGAAATAATGATTTGATTGACATCAAATATGATATGAATCTTATGTATGTCCTCCTTAAGGGGTGTAATGTGTCCAATCAGTCCTCGTAATATAGGCATGTTTGTTGTCTAGCTGATTGTTTCTACTTATACATTAGTGTAACCACATTTTAGGAAGGTATCTCCATTACAGCCAGAATTATGGAATATGAACCAGAGAGAAACCCCAGACCAGAATATGGTTTTCTAACAGGTTGATATATGACAGCTCTGCTTTACTTCTAGCTCTGGGCTGTTTTCTGTCAATTGTGCTTTAAATGGAATGTGTTTCCCTTTGTCCAGTGTCACAGTGAGCATTGATCCAGTGCCGGATTTTGCTCGCTGTCTAAGGCGCTTGGCTTCCTGACAATCAGGTCTGAACCTCTGTGTTAAGGTGCTTATACACCTTACGACCATCGCAAGACTTTTGTCTTGCGATGGTCGTAAGCTTATTAAAAGCTTGTACGATCTGCCCATCTTGGACAGGCAGATTGTACTTGCGATCATCGAAAGCCCGCCCCGCTGTGGGGCGGGCTTGCGATGACCGCAATGAGGGGCGGGCTTCCGATCACTGCAAACAGGCAGTGTGCGCATGCGCACACCGGCCTGTTCGGCAGTTGTCGAACAAGCACAATTCTCGGCGGGTTTTCAAGCCTGCTTGTTCGACCGTACAGTAGAAACGGTCGCACGCCTTCCATACACTGCACGATTATCGCATGATCACTGGATTTCCAGCGATTCTCGTACGAGAATCGTGCAGTGTATGGGCACCTTTAAAGGGCTACCTGCACCTGTTGCTCAGCATTCAAGCAACATGTCTGCTCACTACGGCTGGACCGCTTTGTGTCTCTTGAGACTTGTTTTCTGTTTCTTGTGTCTTCTTCAGTTTCTTGCGTGCTCCTAGTGAGATCCTGTGCTTCCAGCGAGTGAATGGTTATCACTATATGCAGTGAGCTCTCTGTACTGCTGCACCTGTGCATTACCAGTGAGTCTCTATTCAGCTCCTGTGTGGGAGCCTGTCTGTGTCAGCCAGCTATGCTGTTACTGACTCTTTGCTACATACCGATCACCTTGATGTATCCGGACCCTATGTACGGCAACTGTTGCATTTGTCACCTCTGCAGTATCCTGTTGTCTGTGCCTGCATGAGTGTGTTAGAGGGCCACAACCTGGGAGCTGTCCTGCAGCGTAACATTCTCACTCCCTGGGGCTCTGATGAAGACCTGGCCCTCCTTAGACCCCCAGTACCATGCACTCACTTCAGTCCCTGGGTTCCCTGTGACCTGCATCCCAGGCATAATTTCCGCTCAGCCTGTCCTGACCCACTCTGTGAACCCCGGAGCCTATGTTCCCCAGTGCCTCAGGTTCCCGGACCGTGACATCCAGTGTGTCACCTGACAATGGCTGTATCTTCTCTTTTTTACAGCTTCAGTGCTGTTGTGAGGAAGGTCCAGTGCTTCCTAGTTTGAAAGGACCAGTGCGGGCATATGTCCGTGCGAATACTCTAGTGTGTGGCCCTGTATGATGGGTCACTGCCAGACATGGATTATAGTGCACACACACTGAGCACTGGTGTTGCCGCCAAAAGGCCTATTTAAACTGGAATGCGACATGGACATATTGCTGAATGGTCTTCAG